GTCCATTAATTTCATTTTTCAACAACTATTTACATATGGATTCTATCCCTCAGCAAATTGATATGATGATATAGAACTGATTTTAACATGGAAGTCTGAGTTATCATAACTCATATGTCTCAATATGTGCCTTTCAAAGTTTAATTTAGTAATTGAAAGTAAGGCATTCTGACTGTTAAGATAACTGTTAAGTAGACTGTAATAATATTAAATACCCGACCTTTAATTCAGGGAACCTGAACTAAGTGAAACTCTGACCTACCTGGAACTTAAAGTATGGACAGACAACTAATAGCACACACTCAGGCATACAATTAGCACAGATTATATCACACATTCGCTCATAGGCACCTATAGCACATTTATTTGCTAGTCATGTATTTGGAGAAAAGTTTGCAATGGCATCTATTTTCTAATTCATTTTTCATATCTGTTGGATGTCTCAAAATATTCATATATGGAAATTGAAATTAAAAGTTGCCAGTGTAATTGCTACATATCTATGCTGTAGTGGTGCTTAAGCAACAATTTTATTGACAATGCCATGTAACCAAGAAATAAGTGAGGCAAATTTAAATAGGTGAGGCAAAATTTGACCCATATAGAATATTTCATTCACATTTAAATATATCAGTGAATTTAAATAAACAAAATAATCTGAAAACTTTCAGCGAGTCCTGAGTCATTTGTCTCATCTGGCATTGAGCTAGCTTAGCAATATGTAAGCTTGCCTTGTGTGTATTGCTTGTTTGTCCATACTACAGTATAAGTTAATGGTCCATCATTCAGTTCGGGTCCCCTGCAATTGTATTAGAGATTTATTATGTATATGTACTATTATATACCTATATGTACAACTAACTACATATTTTATAAACACAGAACATAGTAGAATTATATATATGTTTGATTATATTTGGTTACTCAATCATTATAAGTGAGTTCAAACACAAATTTCACTGTATGCAGTTAAACGTGTGAGAAGGCTGACTGTTTAGACCAGCATACAATGCAATTTTTAACATTTTTGACAAATCAATATGTATGACCTTGTTTTGGTATCTTAGTCAACTGTGAAAATTTGAAAAAGTCAAAACCATGCATTGGATCCACCTATTTGACTAGAATCATGCATATTTATAGTATACTGCATTCTAATTGGCTAAAGGTGATTCATGTCTGGGTGATGTATGCCCAGTGGCTGAATAAATTACCAGTGATATACAGTATGTGTAAAAGTTAAGTCAAAGTTAAAAGAATCAAAATTATTGATACATACAAGCAATTGGTAGGATAGGACCCCCAATTGGAAACTGGGAATGTACAGTATTTGTAAAAGTTGAATCTAACTTTAAAGATTCTAAAACTGAATAAGCTGACTGAAGTGATGTATATGGCATAGTGATTGAAAGTAGTCTGTGCCAAATGGGTTCATTTTCCAATTCAAGCTGACATTAAGGATTCAGTCAAGATGGTGTTGAAAGTAACTTTATTGAATTATTAAGTAATCATAGCAGTCTATAGTCTCTGGAGGCTTCAAAAGTCATACCAGGAATTTTAGTCCCGTTATAGCCTAGTGCAGCAGTTCACATATTTTTCACACATTTTTGTCACAATTGATACAAGTCATTCAAATTTTTTCTATACCATTTTTATATACGCTGAACTTTTATCAGTTTTAGTCCCATATATTTGTATCAAGCAGCTTAAGTATTGCACAAAAGAATGTTTGTTCAGACATCATTTACAACTATCATGATTTTGTATTTGTTAAAATGTATGATTAATGATTTATGTATGATTAATTGTTGTTTGTTTATGGAAATCTGATATATAAATAAGCACATGTAGATGCTTGCTGAGTTAATTGAATATTACCAAATGAAGTGCCTTGGTACGATTGGGCAATTCGTTGTTTAATTGATATTAATAGTTTATTTGATATATCCCAGTACAATGAGTACATGGTGTGCAAGTGTTTTGAGAAAGATTGGTGCTTTTGTACTTTTATTGTTTATTATTGTTTTTGGTGTTTTTGTCACAACGGATAACATGTAAAGTGTTCCCCTCCCCCTAATGTGAACACTTGTGGATATTAGCAGTGTTTATTTTTGGGTGTTCACATTAGGCGGATGATTTAGCATGGAGCCAATGGGATGAAGTAAAATGTGACAGTAATTTGGAATACTTCACTATCACATTTATGCCTTGTACAATGTATAAAAAATGTACAATTGACTGTATTCCATTTATACAGGTATATATTATTGCAAGAGATAGAGCATGATTCTGAAATGGTTGTGTGAGGTGCTATACAGTGATGTTGAACTGTAGGCTTTCATTGTAAGTCCGATATTTTTAGTTCTAAAACTGAATGTATTGTAAGAACATGTACATGTACTTTGTTATATCCTTGTCCCAAAGATTTTCTGAAGAAATGAATTTAAATTTTTGAATTTTACACAACCACAGCATACACATGTATATGAAAACACATATCTGTTTTCAAACTTCTGATCCACATTTTTCCATAAAATTGGCTTATCAGATTATGTTACAGCCATGCAATACAAACTACTCTAACAGGGTTTTACACCCCAAAAATGCAATCTGCTTTTCAACGCCGTTTTGATGCCAAATTTCGGTGCTGTTTCGACACTAAATGGACTGACTAGTCCGGTGCCAAATTTTGGTGTAGAAAGGTTTTGGTGCCGGAACAGCACCAACTGTTTTTGATGCCGAAACGGCGTCGAATTATATTGGCTGTGTATATATATAAAGGTGAAAACATGATTTCCAAAAGTGAGAAATGAATGTTATTCATGCAGCTAGTGAGTTCCAAACTCTGGTGCAGAGTGTAAAGTATTCTATTTTTTCTTAAACCCACAGAAATCTGGAAAATAAGAATTGGGGATCAGTATCTGTTATATGCCACACTGTAAAGGTGAAGATTTTTAATATACGAGTATAAAAATTAATACAAAACAGAAATGAATTTTTCTGGTTTATGATTTGATTATTTCCATTTCGGAACATTGTTATATCATTCATTATATTTACCATAGCCTGATATACATGGATGTCCCAATTATGAATTTTTACAATGTAAGAATTGTGCTAAATATGAATTGTGCTATGAATGAATTGTGCTATGAGAATTTTGCTCTCTATGAGCATAGGCTACAAATTTTGCCCTGGGGGAGGCAACAATAAATTTATTTAGTTCTCGATCCGACATTGAACTTTTGATGCCTCTCCTCATGATTATGAATTGTGCTTCAAGAATTTTGCTATGTATGAGCATATTATGAATTGTGCTCTTTATTAATGAATTGTGCTCTTCATGAATTGTGCTCTTCATGAATTGTGCTCTAATTGAGCATATACTATAAGTTGTGTCCTTCATGAATTGTACTTTGTATGAATTGTGCTCTGATTGAGCATATACTATGAATTGTGCTCTTCATGAATTGTGCTATGTATGAATTGTGCTCTTCATGAATTGTGCTCTTCATGAATTGTGCTATGTATGAATTGTGCTCTTCATGAATTGTGCTCTTCATGAATTGTGCTATGTATGAATTGTGCTCTGATTGAGCATATACTATGAATTGTGCTCTTCATGAATTGTGCTATGTATGAATTGTGCTCTTCATGAATTGTGCTCTTCATGAATTGTGCTATGTATGAATTGTGCTCTTTATTAATGAATTGTGCTCTTCATGAATTGTGCTCTTCATGAATTGTGCTATGTATGAATTGTGCTCTGATTGAGCATATACTATGAATTGTGCTCTTCATGAATTGTGCTATGTATGAATTGTGCTCTTCATGAATTGTGCTCTTCATGAATTGTGCTATGTATGAATTGTGCTCTGATTGAGCATATACTATGAATTGTGCTCTTCATGAATTGTGCTATGTATGAATTGTGCTCTTCATGAATTGTGCTCTTCATGAATTGTGCTATGTATGAATTGTGCTCTGATTGAGCATATACTATGAATTGTGCTCTTCATAAATTGTGCTATGTATGAATTGTGCTCTTCATAAATTGTGCTATGTATGAATTGTGCTCTTCATAAATTGTGCTTTGTATGAATTGTGCTCTTCATGAACTGTGCTTTGTATGAATTGTGCTCTTCATGAATTGTGCTCTGCATGAATTGTGCTATTTTCAAGCACCAGCTGTCAGGTTGACTATCAATATAACTGAAGTCATTTTAAATATATCACATGAAGTTATCACATGAAATTATCACAGTACAGTGTTACATGTAGTCTTAACTGTATTAAACAATATAAATAAATATATACATGTTTTATAATAAAATTATACTTCTTGATTTCAACTGTGTACTTGTTTTCTAGGAATGGTTGATTACAATTGTATTCAAATTATTGAATAATTAAATTCATTTTATTATAATTTTCTCTCACCTTTCTTATAGCAATGAACTCTATTCTAAATTTCATTAGCATTGAATTAGCATTTACAGATAAAAAATCTAATAATTTTATATCCATTAATTGTAAAGTTGTGAGCATCATCTACCCTGTATTTCAACCCAATGTTTGAATGGTATTAATACATTTCACTCAACCTATCTTGAACTTAGTTAAACACTGTCAAAAGAAGCTATATCAAGTCCTATACTGTATATCATGTGTTAAGAGATTGCATCAAATCCATATTTTTCAAAGAAATATCTTAGAACACTTGTCATGTGATGTGGCACAGTATGAGGCTACATAATAAGTGTTGATGTAATACCTGGATCATATCGCCCTTGCCATTTCACTCTATCAATTGATAATACTTTTTAAAGATATTTTCCTTCTTTAAACCAATAAAAAACTAGATTCAGTATAAGCAATGGCTAGTTGCATTCAGTCATTGATTCATTTCACATGCTAAGCCATTGCTCTCTAGCTCTGTTGAAATTCTTGTTCTGATATATAAATAGATTATCTTTAAAATCTTTTGACATGAATTCCAGGTGATGGCTCTAAGGTTCTTCATTGGTTGGACTCAAAGGGTAACGGCACTGTGGAAGAACCCTTGATCCGCGTCATGGAAAACAGCGAAGGATTGGCCAGTTTCTTTGAGGCGGGGGCAGGTGAGGAAATGTACAGTGGTAGCGTGTTTGGTTGCAATCCTTCTACTGATGATGCTGATGTAACTATAAAGCAAGAATTTCGGGAGCCGAAGATGAGAATTGTTGGGTCAGGTGGTCAGTCCGTACAATCCGTACAATTTTACCCATGTCACATTTGTGGTAAGATACTCAAGTCTAGAATGGCGCTGCATACTCATAAAAAAGAACACTTGAATACTTCAACCAGCTCATATACAACAAACAAGTTGGCTAACCCAACAAGCAAGGCGGCTAACCAAACAAGCAAGTCGGCTAACCAAACAAGCAAGTCGGCTAACCAAACAAGCATCTCAGCTCCAACAACAACAAGCAAATCTGTACTCTCGACAAGCAAGTTGGCCAACACTTCAAGTAAAACAATTATTTTCAGTTGTAAAGCATGTGACAGTGTGTTTAGTGGCAAGGGGCAACTTGAGGCCCATGTTCAACAGGCTCATGGCTGTAAGTTGTGTCAGCTGTGTGGTGATATACTCAGTGACAAGGCCCACATGAAGCAACATTATTACAACAAGCACCATATTAATATATTACATAGTGCTGCCAGTATCAGCCATTCATAAAGGGTTTATCAGCTCTCTGGTGATATACTCAGTGACAAGGCCCACATGAAGCAACATTATTACAACAAGCACCATATTAATATATTACATAGTGCTGGTAATATCAGCCATTCATAAAGGGTTTATCAGCTCTGTAGTGATATACTCAGTGACAAGGCCTACATGAAGCAACATTATTACAACAAGCACCATATTAATATATTACATAGTGCTGGCAATATCAACAAGTCATAAAGGGTTTATCATCTCTAGTGATATACTCAGTGACAAGGCCTACATGAAGCAACATTATTACAACAAGCACCATATTAATATATTACATAGTGCTGGCAATATCAACAAGTCATAAAGGGTTTATCAGCTCTTGTGATATACTCAGTGACAAGGCCCACATGAAGCAACATTATTACAACAAGCACCATATTAATATATTACAAAGTGCTGGCAATATCAGCCATTCATAAAGGGTTTATCAGCTCTCTGGTGATATACTCAGTGACAAGGCCCACATGAAGCAACATTATTACAACAAGCACCATATTAATATATTACAAAGTGCTGCCAGTATCAGCCATTCATAAAGGGTTTATCAGCTCTCTGGTGATATACTCAGTGACAAGGCCCACATGAAGCAACATTATTACAACAAGCACCATATTAATATATTACAAAGTGCTGCCAGTATCAGCCATTCATAAAGGGTTTATCAGCTCTCTGGTGATATACTCAGTGACAAGGCCCACATGAAGCAACACTATTACAACAAGCACCATATTAATATATTACAAAGTGCTGCCAGTATCAGCCATTCATAAAGGGTTTATCAGCTCTCTGGTGATATACTCAGTGACAAGGCCCACATGAAGCAACATTATTACAACAAGCACCATATTAATATATTACAAAGTGCTGCCAGTATCAGCCATTCATAAAGGGTTTATCAGCTCTCTGGTGATATACTCAGTGACAAGGCCCACATGAAGCAACATTATTACAACAAGCACCATATTAATATATTACAAAGTGCTGCCAGTATCAGCCATTCATAAAGGGTTTATCAGCTCTCTGGTGATATACTCAGTGACAAGGCCCACATGAAGCAACATTATTACAACAAGCACCATATTAATATATTACATAGTGCTGGCAATATCAGCCATTCATAAAGGGTTTATCAGCTCTCTGGTGATATACTCAGTGACAAGGCCCACATGAAGCAACATTATTACAACAAGCACCATATTAATATATTACAAAGTGCTGCCAGTATCAGCCATTCATAAAGGGTTTATCAGCTCTCTGGTGATATACTCAGTGACAAGGCCCACATGAAGCAACACTATTACAACAAGCACCATATTAATATATTACATAGTGCTGGCAATATCAACAAGTCATAAAGGGTTTCTTCTCAAAATGGGATAAAATTTGGTCAGTTGAAAGATCTTTTGAAGCAGATCTTTTGAAATGTTCAATAGATGGCTCTCATTTCAAAGTATTTTTCCCCGCTAGTATCAGTGAGTCATGAATCTACTCAAATGATTTAAAGATGGAACCACTTTCAATATCCTTTAAAATTAGGATTTAGAAGTTTTTCGTATATGTACATGTTTATACATAATATATCTTCTTCAGATGTTAAATTCATTTATGGTGCCTATGAATGTCAAAATGGAAAATCATTTTACTACATGTTCTATACATAATCTATTGTAGTCTAGCAATCAAAATAATATGAAATGTATTTTTATAATCTATCTACAAAAAGTGCATAATAATCACAATCAATTATATGTAAATAGTAATGATGTATTTATCAAATTATACCTAAGCATGTTCCCCACTGTCAGACTGTATGTTGTACTAGTGGTATATGTGGGATCAAAAGTGTCTGTATCAAACATAAAGGTTTATAGATAAAATCAGAGACAGACTGAGTGATAAAGTACAGAAAGGAAAAAAACTGTTATAACTCTCTGAATTGAGAATAATTGTGCTTCTGAGAATTGTAAATACCCAAGAAATATGTACCTTAAAGGGAGAATCAGATCTTATGAGCAACCTTAACAACAATTGTTTGAATTTTAGGATATTTCTGGCTCATCGTGTCATTCCTTGTCATTTCTATTTTCTCAAAAATCTTCAAAGTGCATACTTTACTTGAAGAAAACAAAACATTTTTTACAATAATGTATTACAAGCGATGACATTTTGTGATATTCTCCAACTTTTTTGTAAATGATATGTGGCGGTCAGTGGGTGTTTGTCATTCAGTGTCTGTAACAAATGGCAGGTGGTGACATTTTACATGTTAATGCCTTTTCTATAATACATTTTACCATATTTATTATTTGGGAAAATTTAAACATCCCTAAAGATCTGATTCTGCCTTTGAAGACTCGGGGTGCACTTTGTACTATATTTGATTTTGTGATATACAGTATTGTATATTGAACATTTTTGTTAAAAAACATTTAGTGTATTCACTCCAGAGAGGCTAATTTATACAGAAGTCAACACAGTATGTTTGGATGAATGTTGACTGCTAAAGACAGACCACTGGGTTTGATACATGACAAGCTGTCTTTGTGAATTGGTCAACATCACAACCCCAGGTGATATATTTTACAATATTTATATCATTGTCTTGCTTTCAATTGTATGGTTGTGTCGTATTTGAATCTGCAATATTTATGAGAATTCACTAAGTAATTTAGAGAAGTCATTATATAGACCTTTTCCCATGAAAATCTAGCAATCTTCTATTGGAAGGAATTCATCAACAATGTTTTTATTGTTAAACTCAGGATATTACTCATACTGTAAATATTTTGTATATCTGAATTATTTTATGAATCCATGGCTTTAGGCTCTAATCGAAGGTACATGTACAGAGGCTGACATTGAATTTCAAGCAAGTTTTGAGAATTAGAAAAAATAATACGGAATGATAAAACAAAGAGATATTGACTTGGGCAATATACTTGTATTTGCCAAACAATGCAATTAAATGTAATATTTATACAATGTCTGTTTGGTCCAGCCTCAAATACTTCAGATAAGAAAAAAATAATTATTTCTTACATTTTCCTACTTCTTCGCAATCAAATGTACTAAGTCATATTTATCTTTTATATACTGCATGTTTCATTTATTGGTATAATCCGTGTATATATTGATATACAAAAATAAATTACATACATTTTACATGTAAATACAATGTTTTGGTTTTGTTTATTAAAAATCATGATTGATCCAGTATATGTTGGTGCACAAATATATAGAATGATGTACATTAAAACATGTAAAGTTGAACATCTCGGTAAGAGAATAATCTCCGTAATGCCTTGGTCACATTTGTTCCAATTTTCTCTACGGAACCCGGCCGTTTGAGTATTTTGTTCAAAACTGAATACAATATTACACAAAACGCTCAATAATAGGCGTCGGCCGATGGATCAGAGCAAATGTGACCAAGGCATTAGTGGAACACTTTTCAGTCACTTAATGTATAATGAACCCTGTACATGAACACTTTTTAGAGGTTATCTAAGGTTTTCAACTTACAAAGGTTTCAAAGTATTGTATTGTATAGACTAATCATATATACCCAAGAAATTTACAAAATATATAGTTCTAAATAGTTACATATAAGCACAGGCTGAAGTACATATTAATTTGTTAAGAATTGAACTCTCAGGCAAAGTCTGAGTATGTTCTACAATCATTTTTTGTGCATAGAAAAAGAGCAATATCAAAATACAGAGTGCATATAAAAAGGAAAAACTGTACTTTTGAGTAGTGTGGTGTACATTGAATTTTAGATTTGGAGTGCATAGATATTGTCCAGTATTGCAATTACAACAACCTTTTTTCATCAATCTTAATTGTCCTGCCCCTAGAGCTAGAAGAAAATATTGCCAGGTCCTACTATTGCCTTTAAGCATTTACCCCTTCCCCTGGGGTAGCCTCACATCCTAAAGAATGGAGGCACCAAATGGGTGAGTGCACTCAATAGGGCCTTCCTGGCATGGTGCTGTATAAGAACTTAAACATAGGACAATGCCCTGAAAATACATTCAGCAAGAATAGGAAGATGACATAATGGTTTGAATCCATGGACCTGAAATCCCCATGGCTACAGTATGGTGCTTCAGGCACCTTGTATACAGGTCAATTAATTGTTTTCAACTTCAGGGATAAAGTGACTATAATGCACAATGAAGACTGATGAAAGAAGACTGTTCTGTATTGTTCATATACATGATATACAACCATGGTTGATTAAACTGTGAGCAGGTGCAGTTGACACTTTTAAACCTCCTTGCATTGGCAACAGTGGGAACACCTGCAATCAAACAAACATAGGTGTTAGCTTGTATTCGCAAACGCAACTAACGCCTGTCGGCTACCGGATTGACCAACTATTTTATGACCAACTCATTTAAATATGAATGGAATAGTGGCAGGCACTGTTCATATTTAAATGAGTTACCTATAAAATAGAAGGTCAATCCGGTAGCCGACAGGCGTTAGTTGCATTTGCGAATACAAGCTAACATGAGCTAAGTAAATCATGGAAATTATCTTAATTTGAAGCAATTTTATATCATATCATATCATATTAAACCCACTGCCTTCTTCACAATCTACCTGCCATTCATTACAGAAGCCGTACACCAACCACTAAACACTGTCCACAAATAATTGGAGACTATCAAAATATGCGGCGGTGGCATAAAAAGTCTAATACAGTCCAGGGATTTTCCCTGATAGTAAATACAGTTAGACGCCCATAATCACCTACCCTGTTTATGTTGTCAATGATATCTCCAGCTTAATGCATCCAATAACTTTTCCCTTACTACTAAGCAGTACTGTTGCTTGATAATCTCCATCTTCTAGCCATGTGGGAATCTTAAGGGAGCTAGGGTCAAGGTAGTAGGTAGCTGGGGGAAGGTAGAAGTTTCCCTTAAAATAAATACAAGCAGGGAGTGTATATAAAGTGCAATAAATGTACTGTAAAGGAACAATTGTGTAGTGTTCCTGCTTATATTTTGTTTGTTGGTTGCTATTGGATCTGTGAATGAAGATGTCAGGCTAGGGTGACAAAGGTGTTAGGGCAGTTGGGAAGAAGGTGTTAATATATATAATAGGATTTTATTAGTACTGATGCCCTTTTAGGGCCAAACGTACATCCGATATACAATTTTCAATAACAGGTGTTATGTAAGTTGTGATGAGGGTGTCTGGCTAGACATAAGTATCAGATTAGACATGGTGTCACACTGTTTTAAGCATTGACCAGTATGTCAGGTCAGCTGTGAGCAGGATGTCAGGTCAATTGTGCACAGGGTGTCAGGTCAAATGATATCATGGATTTGGGCTTGGCAATATCATGGATTTGGGCTTGGCAATATCATTTGTTTTGGGGATAATATGCACGAATTAGTATCTTGCTGAACTGAAAAGATAATATCAAATTAACCAGGATCCTCATCTAACCATGTAGTCACAGAGTCACTCAGGGGACTAAGGGGATAAATGTACTGTAAATGTACCTTTAGTTTACAGCAAGAGAGACTTGTTGTAATGTGCACCTTTTACCAAATTAGGAAGGAAGGGTATGCCTTGGAGGTGGTACATGTACAGTGAATGTACCTTTAGTTTACAGCAAGGGAGACGTGTGGTAATGTGCACCTTTTACCAAATTAGGAAGGAACGGTATGCCTTGGAGGTGGAACATATACAGTGAATGTACCTTTAGTTAACAGCAAGAGAGACTTGTTGTAATGTTTACCTTTTACCATATTAGGAAGGAAGGGTATGCCTTGGAGGTTTACAGTTAGTTTACAGCAAGGGAGACTTGTGGTAATGTGCACATTTTACCATATTAGGAAGGAAGGGTATGCCTTGGAGGCGGTACATGTACAGTGAATGTACCTTTACTTTACAGCAAGGGAGACTTGTAATGTGTACCGTTTTTACCATATTAGGAAGGAAGGGTATGCCTTGGAGGTGGTACATGTACAGTGAATGTATCTTTAGTTAACAGCAAGGGAGACTTGTGGTAATGTTTACCTTTTACCAAATTAGGAAGGAAGGGTATGCCTTGGAGGTGGTACATGTACAGTGAATGTACCTTTAGTCTATAGCAAGGGAGACTTGTGGTAATGTGCACCTTTTACCAAATTAGGAAGGAAGGGTAATGTCTTGGAGGTGGTACATGTACAGTGAATGTACCTTTAGTTTACTGCAAAGGAAACTTGTGGTAATGTGTACCTTTTACCAAATTAGGAAGGAAGGGTATGCCCTTGAGGTGGTACATGTACAGTGAATGTACCTTTAGTTTACAGCAAGGGAGACTTGTGGTAATGTGCACCTTTTACCAAATTAGGAAGGAAGGGTAATGTCTTGGAGGTGGTACATGTACAGTGAATGTACCTTTAGTTTACTGCAAGGGAAACTTGTGGTAATGTGTACCTTTTACCAAATTAGGAAGGAAGGGTATGCCCTTGAGGTGGTACATGAACAGTGAATGTGCCTTTAGTTTACAGCAAGGGTGACTTGTGGTAATGTGCACCTTTTACCATATAAGTAAGGAAGGGTTGCCTTGGAGGTGGTACATGTACAGTGAATGTACCTTTAGTTTACAGCAAGGGAGACTTGTGGTAATGTGCACCTTTTACCAAATTAGGAAGGAAGGGTATGCCTTGGAGGTGGTACATGTACAGTGAATGTACCTTTAGTTTACAGCAAGGGAGACTTGTTGTAATGTGTACCTTTTACCATATTAGGAAGGAAGGGTAATGTCTTGGAGGTGGTACATGCACAGTGAATGTACCTTTAGTTTACAGCAAGGGAGACTTGTGGTAATGTGCACCTTTTACCATATTAGGAAGGAAGGGTGTGCCTTGGAGGTGGTCCATGTACAGAGTGAATGTACCTTTAGTTTACAGCAAGAGACACTTGTGCGTTGTAACAACCAAGTTGTTTGCCATTATTTGAGAGAGTCACTTGACCCTGGTAGTCCCCCTTGGTCAACCAGCTGGGGATGGGTAGACTACTGGTGTCAACATAGAAGTCTTGGGCTGGGAGGGTGAAGTTGCCCTGTTAACATTTTATATCATGCAATTTTACACATACATACATATGATATGAAAGTTTAATATATTATACTTGATATTATACTTGATTCTAATATCTTGAATAAAACATGATTTGTTAATGTCAATATCTAATATTATGTAATTCTACTAGTAGATTAATGATGTTAATAATATCTGACATCATGTTAATATTACAAAAGGCATGATGTTAATTTCTAATACCATGTTAATTTTACATAGATTCATGATTTCAGTTCATATACATAAAAATTCAGGGTGGCTTTTAAGTCATGACATCTTTAATACTTACAGCAGGAAAGGGGCAAGTACATGGAATGCCATAGTCGCTGAGGGGGTAGGGGCATGGGTCCCCGGGGGAGAGGGGGATGAAGCTGCAGACATCATCATAGGTGCATGATCCAATGTTGTCAACACATGGGATTGGGATCCAGACAAGCACTTTCTTCTTTATCTCAAGTTTGGCCTAAATATAAGAAACAAATCACAGTAATGAATCGAGCATGCTTATGTGAAAATAGTGTACACAAAATAATGTAACTCCCTGCAGTAGAAAAATCTCATCAAACAAAACATTCTATCAAATTCTTAGTCATTTTGGACATTACATAACAGAAACAACTAGGAAGTAATAGATTGTACCCTTTTGACAAGATCTACTAGTATACAGTCATGATATGGCGTAATGCTATGCAATACACAGCCAAAATAATTTGGTGCCGTTTCGGCATCGAAAACATTCGGCGCTGTTCCGACACCGTTTCGACACTGTTCCGACACCGAAACCTTTTGACATCAAAATTTACCGTTTTGAAGTGAGTGGCCATATTTGAAATTCATTCTTGAGCAGAGATCCTTTGTCCATATTCACCTTTCCACAAAGTCAGCTCATGAATATTATAATGAGCTGCTTAGAAATCTGTGACGTCAATGACTGAACCTTTTTCCCGCGAAAAACAAATGCAATTGAGTTAACATGTAAATCCTCGGTTGATTGCTGTAAGTTTTACCTCTTCAAATGTGCAAGTAATCAGTAAATTATTGACAGATTTTTATTGAACGTCAAATTGACATTTATTTACGCCTTCTAAGCGATTTAAATATTAAATGTCTGTTCATAATGAGTAAATAATTTGAAAAGAATTACTCCCGGTCAGTTTTCAATCATGATGAGAACAGGTGAAATTATCATAATCATTAGTTCACCAACATTATAACATGTCTCTTATGCATAAAAATATATAGATAGACAATCTATTTTAAGTTAATCTTCAGTGTCATTTGATGAATGACCTGTTCAAATTAAAAACATTTGCTCTTATTCATTAAATCATTGACTTCACTACTTCCATAATTCAATCAACTAAACGATTACTTCCTATTTATTTCTGCAAGTCATATCAGATCGTATCTTGAAAATATTATACTTGAAAACATTGGGATATAGAATTGATATCTTAGAGGAGCGTGACATATATAGAGGTTATCCTACATGAGGTTCAGGATATTGGGATTATCCCAAGGCAATTATAATATATCTGCCCGAGGGCCGAAGGTCCCGAGGGAAAATATATTATATTGGCCAAATATTTTAGAATATTCATGTCCAGTTTTGTTTTCTTGGCCGTGGGCGGATTTTCCTGTTCTCTCAAATATTCCCAATATACGTCCAATATACGTCCAAGTATGGGTTAAACATGTATATATATTCCAATGTATATTTCCCGCTGCGTATCTCCCGATCCAAATATCCCCGGGAAAATGTTTTTTATTCAGTGTAGAAACAGTCAATTTGTTAAAATATCTTGCTAAAGCAAAACTGTCAAAATAGATCCAGCAGACCGTAGAATTTTTCTTAACTAAAATAATGATGGATTTCTCGAAAATAATGAGAATGAGAACGCTTGAAATCAAACATGGATATGGGTGTCCCGATTTTTCCTTGTGAAACCTCACTTGTCATTGGATAAATTAGTTATGTGATGATCGGTTTTGAATAATGATGACTGGGAAGATTTCAGAGAAAGAGCGTATATCATATAATGTTTATTGATGATATGTTGAGATTGCTGATCATTATTGACATCGCTGATGGCGAATAAATACCAAAAGGTAACGCTTTGCGCAAATGTCACTCATGGTGAATTTCTGATGGAACTTCTTATTACGACATAATAACCATTTAACAGGATAGTGTATGACCACTATCAGATAATTTAGCCGATGTTTGTAACTTCACAATTTACATTTTTTGTTTACAATCGCACGAGACACGTGAGCCCGGGTATGTGAGGCTGATCTGAGAAGTCTTAATAAACAATAGTTCTGTCAAAAAAATGATTAAATTAAATTACATAAGATTCGGAAAGAAAGTGCCCCGTCCATATTTCATGTTTGCTTAAAAATAATTAGTACGTTGGCAAATAGAATCCTTTTTATAGCAGTTAATTCAAAATATTCCTATGCTGGCTGTACTAATTCTTCAAAACTTTCCATCATTGATGTCATTGATTTGACTCATTTGCATACAACCAATCAGCGCGCCGGAAATTATCGATTTTCTTTACTTTGTGGAAAGGTGAATAACATTAGCCTTTAGAATTTGGACCAAATCCTATATCTTGTGTTTAAGTTATCAAAATGTACATTTTCCTTGAAAATGAGAGCCATTTTGAATTGAGCAGCCATCTTCAAAATTACCTTTTGAGCAGTACTATGTTCCTAAAGCATTGGCACATAAATCTGAACCAATCTGAAATTATTTCAGTATACAGTATATTGAGCACCCTCAAAAAAATAATATAAATATTTATTTCTAGAATAGGTATTCTGCCAGATCCAGCTTCTGATCATCCAGTATTTGTATAATATTCCCACTATCACCCTACCCCAAATTGATTGAATAAGTTTACTTTCAAGTGAAGTAAAATATCAATCCAACTTACTGAAAAAAATCATGGATTAGGACTCCACCTTGGCACATTTTTAATTGGGCTTATTTTCTAAAAAGAGGATCTTTTTTCTCAATTTAAACATATCTTGAAAGTTTCTTCTGCAATTTCTAAAAAGGGATTGTGGGAAAGGGGAAAAGTGGTTTGAAATACACTTAAGTTAAAAACCACATATCCCATGTCATTTTCTCATGTAGGGAAAACTCATGCTATCCTTTGTTTTCAGCATAATAATCCAAATTGGCCTACAATAAAAAAGCAGCAATGAATTTTTGCTGATTTCTTTCTACAAAATTATCTCATACTAATAACGGTCTCATGTTAATGGTAACATAAAAAGAAGATCTTTTTTGAGTAAATAGGTTCTACATTTTGGAAGATTGTTCACATGGGGTCGCTATTCATAATTTTTTGACATTTTTATCACCATGGTGACTTCACTTGAAAGAAACATATTGTTTTAGTAACCACTGTTTATGCCCAGAAATAGTACTCATGGTGAGTCTAAAATCACTTGCCATATTGAGTCTCCTTTACGTCAAGGAAGAGAATGGTTCAAGTATACAAGTAGCAGGGAAATCAAATGTTCCCTTATGAATACAACACTTATGAAATAATTGAAGAACAATTAAAGATTCATTTTCCTGTGCATCAAGGAAACAAGTACAGTAAAACCTGTCTAATCCGAACACCCACAGGACCAGCCAAAAGCGTTCAAATTGGCAGGTGTTCAAATTTAGAGGATTTTGTTGGTCGGGGGGGGGGGGGGGGATTTTCATTGTTCAATCCACTATATTGAACACTTAATACTAAGTCAGAAAACAATAAATGTTGTTGATGAGTTAATTCTATAATAGTCATATAGCCTATATGCTATGTTTTATTTATATTTTAAACAATATCATTGTTTTAGTAAAAATAACTCTTATGTTTTGGCAAAAACTTTGTAATACACTGTAAAAGTATATGATAGTCTCGTATGAAATCTTATGCTTATCAAATGACTTATCCCATATTATGGTAATATAGCACTGCTTTACTATTGCTTGAAAAAGTCCTTCATTGTTGTTTGTTTCTTGGCACTTTTAGCATTAGCAATATTTGAGTAGATATCCTCTTCAAGTAAAAAGAATTTTTCATGAGTGTTCATTCGAGATGATGTATAATCCTTCAAAATATCAAGGGCATTCAGGATGTCAGATGTATGCCTTTTAGGAGACATTTTAGTGATAGGATATTACAAAGTTGAATTTTTTTCTCTTTCTTGTGATATAATCTTGTCTGCAAATGTCGTCTGTGTTGTCCTTGTGATTATAAAACATTTGCTGATTGAATCTTAGCTATCATAACAGACCCATGGGATATAAAACAGTTAAGACCTGTTCATAATCCAAATCAAAAACATCCAGTTAATTTACAATAAGGATAAACCAATTATCTCCCAGATTCTCACCTTTCTCTTAATCCAAATCAAAAACATTCAGTTTTTTTCTAAATCTTGTCTGCAAATGTCGTCTATGTTGTCCTTGTGATTATAAAACATTTGCTGATTGAATCTTAGCTATCATAACAGACCCATGGGATATAAAACAGTCAAGACCTGTTCATAATCCAAATCAAAAACATCCAGTTAATTTACAATAAGGATAAACCAATTAACTCCTGTATTCACACCTTTCCAAAACATCCTGTTGTTTTCCACAAATTAGGGATGTCACTGAGACTAAATAAGTTAGTTAGGACAATATTGTTTCTTTGATTACATTGTATATGTAAAGATAAATAACAACTATAACATTGACTCAATATTTGGCTATAATTGAAATGTCCAGACATTTGATTTCTGATAAAAATGTTCAGATTAGACAGGTCACTTTTTCAAATCTGGTTGTTCACTGTTCAAATTAGGAGGTGTTCAGATTTCAAGGTTTTTTTAACATGGGAGTCAATGGGAAGAAAAAATGGGACCGAAAAAAAGTGTTCAAATTGGAAGGTGTTCGGATTAGCCAGGTGTTCAGATATACAGGTTTTACTGTATATTCATTTACATTCGAGTATTATACTGTACATGCCAATCACTCTCTATGAGTGTTTATCTTGAACAATTATGAGGAAAGATGATGGACTGTTTCAGTAAATTAACATCTAAAAATCCTTTACAAGATATGTCTGTTTCCTTAAAAGTAATATATACTAGAAAACAGCAACTCCCCAGAGTAGCAAATCCCACCGAACAAAACATATTTTATCAAATCTCTCATCGTTCTGAACATAACATGATAGAAATAACCAGGCAGTAGGCAAAATCTATATCCACTGTGATATGATTTCATAAAACAAATTCCTTCTTCAGTACAGGCCCTATGGGCATAATGAATTAGCCTGTAAGCAAAACATAAACCAATATTTGGTCACCATGAAAAATATTACTTATGGTAAATGTCAGCCTTTTTTAATTCAGCAGACATTTTCATTTCATTTTTATTTGAGTTACATATCTCACACAGACACCATAGGGCATGTGTGGTCGGATAATGTAACTTGATATCCTTGAAACAGCTCCCCTTAATAATCTGACAGGAACTGGTATCTTTATCCTGGCTAGAACCAAAGACAGTTCAAGCCAGCACAGGCCTTTTATTGAGTTAGTATCACTATAGTAATCAACTTCTCTGGTGTACTTAGTTAGCAAAAGCTGGTTCCTGTCACCACAAGCTGGGATTGAACCCAGGATCTTGATATCAGGAGTCCAGAGTGCTAATCTTTACACCACAGAACCAAAAGACAATTTGAAAATTCCTACTTTATAAGAAGACATACCTGCAGAGGAGCACCAAATGACTCTTTGAATGTGACTGAGAATCCAGCCTGGACATCCCCTGGTAGCTTAATTGGATCTGGACTCAGTGTGAAATTGTGTACCTTGAAAAAAATATGAGAATCATACACACTATATAAGTATGGAACTCCTAGAATTGTGAAATTTAAGAAGTAAGACATCAGTGATTATAATAAGCATGATCCTAGTTTTGTATTTATATATATTTAATTATTGTTATTTTGATTATATTTCTGATGAAGGTATTGATATCATTGATATGTCTTTTCATGCACCCGTTTATGTGCATTTATGATGTACTAACGTTTTTTAATTCTACAAAATGAGATGGTTTTGTAAAAGGAACTTTTTGAACCTATTAAAATTAAATCAATTAGTTTTCTCTCTTTTTTCTAAATAAGTTGTATAAAAATCTGATCAATATATGGGAAGGGGAAAAATTAATACCTCATGTCCTTGTGTGTTCTATACCTGTACATACCTGGATTGGGTCACTTGATGATCCACAGTTGCCCCATGAGAACGATTTCACCTTTAATCCACTTGGTCTAAGCTGAATAAAAATAAATTCAAAATAATGAATAAAATATTCATATCTTTTTATAAATTCTCATGCATGTCATTGAATACAGAAATCACTCAGTTGATGCCTTACAAGATAATAAATATTATATAGCTCATCATATAATATGAGGTTATATAATGGTTCATTCTGTATATCGTGTTTATACTCGAGTGAGTATATAATATATTCACAAGTGAGCGTAGCGAACGAGTGAATATATTATATTCTCACGAGAGTATAAAATGCACGATATACAGAATGAACCATTATATAATCTTATTATGCCACTCTAAGTTCAATTACAGTTGATTCAAACACAATCATAACAATTATAAAAACCATAAAAATATCCCATAGCCAACTCAGTAATGCCGATGTTGATCTCGATCCATTTATAACGTCACTTGATTCTAGCAAATCATGTGGGAACCATTTGTGACGTCACTTGATTCTAGGAAATCATGTGTAACTATACATACACCTCGTTCTTCGGTCAATATTCATTAGTTCCCAGAATGCACTTCTACAGTGGTATACGCTGGAGTGTATACGGAGGAGTTGTATACGGTGACGATATACCACTCTCCACTGTATATCAACAAAATGTTTTTAACTTGAATTTGGAAAAATAAAATAGTTTGGTCTTAGGGATCAAAATTAAATAGTTTGGCCTGGGGTGTGAAAAGCCAAAAAAGTTTAGGTATTGAAAAAATAAAATAGTTTACAATGACCCCTCTGATAAAAAATGAGGTTGAATGAATTATAATACAATGCAACTGTTGCTTATTATCATGTCAATGGCACTTCTTACAGCGTAGATACAATCCCATTTAGACATTAACCCTCATTTACCTTGGCAAATGTTGAGGGTGTGTACAATGAAGACTTCATTCATTAACAAAATAGTACATACTACATGAGTGCTACCCTGCACTCATTAAATGAGAAATAATTCTTTGTCCGAATATTGTAACATTACACAAACTACTAATAAATTGTCCAGTAAAACCTGTCCAAGTGGAACACCTTTGGTACTTCTAAAAAGTGTTTCACTTGGGAGGTGTTCTACTTATATATACAGGTATATTTAATTTAAAGACAATTGAAACAGTAATTTAAACCTAAATGAATCAACATTATTTAATAATGGATACATTTGGACATGTTATCTAATCACTTTCATTGCAACTGTTTCATTTTACTACACATGGTTGTTGCTTAATAATCAATATTTAAATGTTAATTGACGTTTTTGGCCCCCATGTGACTTTTCACGGGTCTCCATGTGGCCATTTTGGTCTATTGAATCATGATGTCATAATTCCAACGTTTTTTGTTTTGTTATTTGTTTATACAACAATCCTGTGGTTGCTATGACATCATGATTAGCAAGTAACCAATTAACCAAAACTATAAATTATGTATGACGTTACTGATCACGTGGAGACCAATCTGATTGATCAATTAATTTTATTATGTCATAATTAACAATTATTTAACATTTCTTTTATAATGGTCATCTTGAGAACTCTATGTTGGGCTAACAATGAAGAAACATTTTTGTAGCTGCAAGTTGAGAAAAGCTTTTTCAGTTGTCCTTTAAGTCAGTTGGTCATGGGACTCTGAAAAGTGTTCTTCTAACAGAGGTCTTACACTTCTAGAGATGTTCCACTTCACAGGTTTCGCTGTTTATATAAATATGAATTGCAAGGCTCATGAATGAAATCTTCAATCAAATTCGCAAAAGCTCCATTGAAGATTAGTAAGATTGAACGAATTGAATCAAACAGAAAAATTGTCATAATCAGAAGAATGCATGCAGAGTATGTGATGGCGGACATGTACTTTATGCAGACATGTAGCCGACACTAGAATGTGAAGGTTGATATTTTCTCAAGCAGCCTTCAATTTGTCACACCATTGTCTCCAAGTGAATCTTGTGATCACTGGTATGTACTTAAGACAATGATAAATGTACTATCTTAACTTGAGCACCATTAAGATACTATTTTTATTAATTAGTTATATTAACGTCTGACATCTCAAGATACAGCAGACAATATCTAGCCTTGAAAAGCCACAAAAAGCTGGATTGAAAGGAGGGCGAGTTGTTTGTAGAATGAATCGGGGGATTTTTTTCATGAATTTCGCTTATGTTTTTCATCCAAAAAACATCAATACACTTTAAAACATTTTGTTTACTTTAAGATTACACCATGTAATCCAAAAATATATTTCTCGTTTTCAAAGATAATCCATGGATTAACACCCAGGTATTTTTATTTTTCAAACTTCAGAGGGCTGGGAATCATTGATGCTCAACGCTTTTGAATATGATAAATGCTGTTTTAAATAGGTTTTACGTATGCCATTAATTTCTCAAATTATGTAAGCTGAATGCGCCCTAGAATATTCTCTTGGAGGAATCCAATGGTAATCCAATGGTAGTTCCAAGCAGATTTTTAGATGGCAGGTAAGTAAATTCTTTAGTACTCGCCTTATTGGGTTGAGTTAGTTTATATTCAAAAATTATATATGATTCTGTAAAGATGTCAGTGTGGATGCTATATAGATTGCACAGTATGGTAAGCTGTATAATCCTATATAATGTAACACGAGTACAGTTTTGGTTGACATGATTGTGACTGAGTGAGAGATTAAACTCTTTAAGGTAGTTCTGCATGTTGATAATTTTTACTAATTTTGGTGATGAATAAATTATCTGATATTTATAAATTGGGCAAAATTTTTTACATTTTAAGTGGATATAAAGAATTATGGTAACATACACATGGACCATGCATACACATACAATTACAAATGTGAAAATATTGTCCCTTTCATTGATTATCGGTATTTATAATCATGAAAATTATTGAAAAATATCGAGACATGTCTACCTTAAAATCAAATTGGATTACAAGTACCCTAAGCTATTTTTACATTTTTATTGCAAGAAAATCTTTTTGCAAGGGTTACAAAGGTTGAAATATTGTGGTGGCTCTATTTGGCTGGAGTTTAATATTCAGACCTAGCTATAGGTATTATTACATTTATATGTACACTAGTATCTTGTTGACCTATATTCAGCACTGTATTGATGAATGGGCCACTTATTAGGGCCAATATTCAATCATAAAGTGTACAGGGGTAGAGATGCCAAACCAAGAAGTCTTTTTGTGTCTGTCAAAATCCATTTGCATCCTACACATCCCAACATATTATCCAAATATGTTATTAATTAATGAAACATAACAGTATAATCTTTGGATTTAGAAAGTTGTATGGGATTTCATTAGTATAAAAGTTGCTTTTGAAGCATTTTTCTATAGCCATTTTGTAGGAAAAAATGATGGAAAAAATGTATAATCTTTTAATTTGAAGTATGACCTAAATCGATTGCAAACTTTATATTTGCACATCTGATGTGATATACCATTTGTGTCATACTGTGAAATTATTTAATTTGCAATCGATTCAGGTCATAGTGTATTTTAGGTATTTTTGTGAAAATCAATAGAAACCAATGGCCTCTATTGGAATTGATGATATCCACATGTTAAGTCAATGGAGCCCATTCAATGGCAAGTCAATACACCCTTGCTGAACTAAATGACCTCAACCTCAGCCCATGTGGGTCCAAACGCCCAAATATTTTCCACAGTATTATGTGACATTGAATTCTTTATGTTACACCTAAAAATGATTCATTTTGTTCATGGGGATATCATAATGGAAAGTGCACTAGACCCTTATTGTAATTGTATGATATCGTATTTGTGATTTGAATATACATTGTGATATTTGAGAAAAAGAATGTTTTGTTTTAGTTTCATTGCAATTTATAACCCTAATATCCTTCCCAGAATCCTTCCTTGTCTTCCAATTTTCTAATAACCTCAGAAGTTCCTACTTTTTAAAAAAAATACAATTTTCCATGATCATTTTTATGTCACCACCACAAGTGGTGACATATTGTTATGGTCTCAAACTTTTTTGTGGACGGTGTTCAGTGGTTGGTGTTTATCATTTGGCAGTTGGTGTTTGGCAGTTGGTGTCTGTAACAAATGGCAGGTGTTGACATTTTGCATGTGAATGCCTTGTCTTATAATGTAGCCAACTGCAATGGATGTAAAACGGATACAGTTAACTAATACATTTCTTGGCATCAATTCAAATCATATGCTAATTTTAAATGAAAATGCTTTTTTTCATGTTTTACCACTCATAAATGCCATAATATCTCGATGTCACATTCAGGAAAATATGGCTATCAACAAGTTTTGAATTCTTACAATCCTGGAAGTTGTACATGTAAGCGTGCACATCTGTCAGTTCAGTTTATGTGTAAAAGTTAATCCCCTAAGCCTTAATACCTGATGCATGAAATATTATGAATGAGTTACATAATATGTACTCGTGCTATTTAGGTAAATGTTGTGCTGTTTCACCAGATTTGACTGACATCTTTAAATAACAACAATTTGATTTGATGATCAGACAGCAACAAAACATATTAAGTGGCCAAGACAAAAGAATGTTATTATGATAGGCATTCTAGGGATTAAGGAATGCATTCAGCTTACATAATTTGAGAAATTAATGGCATACGTAAAACCTATTTAAAACAGCATTTATCGTATTCAAAAGCGTTGAGCATCATTGATTCCCAGCCCTCTGAAGATTGAAAAATAAAAATACCTGGGTGTTAATCCATGGATTATCTTTGAAAATGAGAAATATATTTTTGGATTACATGGTGTAATCTTAAAGTAAACAAAATGTTTTAAAGTGTATTGATGTTTTTTGGATGAAAAACATAAGCGAAATTCATGAAAAAAATCCCCCGATTCATTCTACAAACAACTCGCCCTCCTTTCTGATTGGTTTAAACTAGCTTTTAGATCTGGATCAGACCATACTGTCTTTTACTAGCATCCTTAGTTTTTTAATTCTTGTGGCTTGTTCTATTGACTTAAATGTAAATTAAATCCTAACTTCAAGATTTATATAATAATCTATAAGGGGATTTGACATATTTTATGTTCTGGCAAGATCTAACCAGTCTTTGTGTCTGGTATAGTTTTCTTTTTGATTATTAACTAAACTAAACTTGGTGCAATTTTTCAATCCAACAAAGGAATAGCCAGAAAAAAGAGAAAAAAATTTTGTTAGTGGGCCTTTTTGGGCAATACTTTGCCTTTTTGGGACTTATTTCTAAACCAAATTATCAAAAATGGACCTTAAATTGTCAAAATGTTGGCCAAATTTTGGGTTTAGGGCCCCTATAGTTTTGTTTCAACAGAAGCAGCCATTTTTTCTGATTTAAATTGCCCTCCTTGTTTGTTAGCTTCCAAATCCACCCCTGCTATTTGTCCTTTTCAACCCTATATGTCATATCATATTTAAAAGGGTGAAATTCCCAGGGACTTTATCAAAAGATTTTTCTTCTATCTATATTTCAGATAAACGACTGTATGGATATCTTGAATGGCCTAATTCATATATAAACATGAAAATTAAAGTTTAGGAATTAGGCTTTAGAGGCATCATACAGCCAAGCCCCAACCCCCCCCCCCCCCCATGATACATGACAAGCATATAGGAAACCAATGGTGGAGGTATGGTTTTCCAGGGTATTCACATTACCTGTATACGATTTCATGTATTATCGTCACATAGAGACAATCTACAGTAAATAACATGATATCAACATTTGAGAAACTTGAACCCAGTATTGATTGCTGGTGACAAGGATATGTAACTAGAAAACAGCAACGCCACAGAGTAACAAATTTCAATGATCAAAATTAAAAGACCTACAATATTAATTTAGTTTGAAACTTATTTGAATTATTTCTCGGATAGACTGACAAACGGCTGTTTGGGCTTCATGGATATCCCAACTGACCTTTATTTGTAGTTATGACAACAGCAATTGTTTTCATGTAAATACATGTATGTTTTGGCAAAAATAATCAATCCAAAACTATTCATGAATGTCTATCACAAGAAATCCATTACACATACATGAACACACCCTGTTTGAACAAATTGCACAAAGACCTTCTGCCGTTTATTCGTGATTATGATCGAGATTGAGAATAAAACGATAGAACAGATGTTGAACTGAAATTCATATTATCAAAATTTGATGTTATTTCCCCGAACTCCCATGCAGTGTCGGTATAGACACTGCGGCGGGCAGATGAAGAAAATCCCCAAAACTTGGGGAAAATAGTTCCCCTTTTCATCATATATGTGGTCAATTTTCACACAACTTATAGAATATGTATTCATGAATGTTCCCCAAACATTATTTTGTCAAAATATCTCAAAATGTTTGAAATATGAGAAGAAATCACCGCGGAAGGAATTCTGAGTTAAAGTTGTGTTGATAATAGTTTACCGCACGTGTTGTTTATTAGTAAATACGCGCAATTCAACCAATGAAATTGTCTAAATTTTACAATCACGCGACCTGAGCATGGGACTAGAACCAATCACGTCAGTTGTTTATTTCGAAGTTACCATGCTTACAGTAAGATACCTGCCCGCCTCAGTGATATATCACTGCACGGGAGTTCGTTATTTCCCCAGAGATACAATTCCTTTGGGAGAAACACCCGGGACCTCTCCCCCATCCTTTCTGAAGGACCTGCATTTACGTATATATAAATTCGATATACCAATTGTCTCAGAAGACACATATTAATGTAAGCGGAAAATGATAACAAGCTTGCATACAAACTAGTGTTGGTATTGATCTGTTGTCGGAAGTATGGAGGCACGTCGATGGCTGCTAGGTTCTGCTATCGACGCTACTTCCAACAGATCAATACCAATACCAGATCTAATAACTCAAAGTTATTCAAGTTTACCTTGTCATTGACGAATCTGTCAAGTGTTCTAGGTTTGCTTAAGATCTGTAACAGTTTATTGAAATCTTCTCTGTCCTCGTCTACATCGAACCTGAAGACGTTTGCCTTCACAAACACAACGCAAGCGACCAGAAGAACCAAAGACGTGAATCGGGCCATTTCCTTCTTGTACACAGTCCAAAATGCTATTTGGTGATGCGATCTGTTTATATAAATCTATGATCGCAATGTCATATTAATCATTAATAATCTTATTTGTTTTGTCAATCATTAACTTTTGATTACATATGTATTCGCTAATGTATAACTAAGTATGAATCGAGCGGATGTTCTGTTAAAATATTTGGAATGTGTAATATAAGGTCAAGGACGTGTCCTCAAAATTCATAATAAATATCTTGCTCCGTTGTTTTGTGAATTCTAGGTTATTTATCGAAGATTTAGAGGCATAATAACATGTTAGACGATAGAAATATTATGTGAGTATAATAACTAACTAATTTTTATTCTTTTTTAGTAATAGATTGTAGGAATGAAGGACTTGGAATTTCTATCTAAAATTTGGGGATTTATTTTTCGAAACAAAAGAATTAGGTAATCAGCTGATGACCTGATCATGACTCACACTATTCAAAGCCTACAGGAAAATAAAAATAGTTCTTATATTCAAAAGTTCATGAACAATTTTAAAAGAATGAATAACAGAACATAATGTTATTGTGTGTTATTGACCAAATACCTCGAATATTATACATGCGTACAATTTCATTGAACATCTCACCAACTAAGGCTTTATTGTTGAATCGATATGTGTTCATATATAGGCTATCTATATTTGACTATCCAATAGTACAGATAATCAAAAACATTGCTGATCATAAGGTAATCAATTAAACTGGATTGTCCAGACCTGAATCAGGGACACACAAACACATCTATACACACGTTATTTTACTGGATGGAAAAGCTTGAATAAGTTTATACAATGTATATACTACAATCAGGATATGAACATAAACATACATTTTACTGTATTAAGTATCAATAGCAATTAACGTTTTTTTATGATTGGAGAACATGTAATTAATTCAAATACTGACTTCAGACTTTGATTAAAGATCTAGTACCTCAACATAAGAATGGAACGAAATACTAGCTCCATACAGAATAATGAAGAAACACCGCTGCTGACAAGTACACTGATGTCTACTACTCCTAAAGTGTACAAACGACGCTGGTACATTCTTGCAGTATTCTCAGGTCTCACTCTCATTCAGGTATACCTGTTTTTCTTTGCTTTTAACGAAGTGTAACAACAAGTGTCCCTTGACATAGTTGGCTACATAGGTCATATTTACAGCCAAAAAATGTTCCATTTTGAAAATCTCAAATTAATTGATTTCTTCCGTAGCCCTGATCAAATATGACCAGGAAGATGATAAATTACCAGTGTGTAATTTAATTTATAACTGTTATATGAATGTACTGCAAACTGCTTTTTTGATGGTTCTAATAGTTCTTTGATGGTTCTAATAGTCAATAAAATAGCTTTGTAACATTGGCAAAGCATGAAAACTTCTTTGAGGAAAATTGCTCCTGATATGCTCATTGAATTTTCGAAATGAAAAGGCTTGAGGAAAATGTTATGAATTTATCCAACCAAATATTTACATTTACCAGAAGCAAAGTACAAAGATATTAACGCTATATTGCTCAACGTTAGTCATGAATAATACATTAACATATATGTCACTTTCATGATTTGTTCCAAAAAAGTCAGAAAGTTTATTTTCTGTCATTGTTAAAGATTGAGTGAAATTGGTCATTGAAAGCTCAAAGAAATCCCAAGCAATCCAAATTTTGAAATTTGTAAAAATTTTAAACATATGTAATAGATTTATAAAATTTTCACGTAATCCATTATATTATAATGGCATAATAAAACTAATAGCTAATTATAGTACAAAGAAATATAAAGAATTAATAGCTCTTGACAACTGAATAAATGCACATGCATCAGGTAATTTAATTAGAATAAAGAGGCTGAGCTGTGATTACATGTAAATGACAAGAATAGTATTAGTAATGGTATTACGCTGGTAATATGCTGAGATGTAGGAATCCTAAAATTTGAGTGGAGTGGGTATCTAATCCAGTGTATTTAATGTCAGACAACCAAGCCACATGTTAGATATATTAGGCCCATTGGCAGATTTTGCCAAGGGGGTTCACTTTACAAAAAATCATACATGACAACTTTGGCCAAAAAATAACTTAAAAATGCTCAAAATAGTGGAAAACTGCATGATTTTGAAAGACTGTTTGGCTAGGTGTTTGCACCCCCCCCCCCCCCCACTCCCTCTAGTTACAGGCCTGACAAATGGCCATTCCTAAGTGAAGTTCAAAGCTGGGTCATATAATCATATAAATTACCCTTTAAATGAACTCTGACTACATGTAGGGTTCAAACATACATGTATGAATTAATTACAGGAACCACACTCCTATTTAATATGATATTTAATTTGGGATCAATTAATGTTCAAATCTTGATGTATGAAAGTCCATGTGTTGCCATTACATAATTCTCAATTTGCAATTTTTCTTTGATCAGTGGCTTAAACAATATTATCTTTGTTGAAAGGCAAAACTAAAAAAAGTTGTATTGTTAGAGGTTATTTGGACTTCACTTCCACGGTTTCAGTTGAATATTACATCCGCAGAAATATGTTTCTATAAACTTTGGTAAGGTAGTTGCTGATGCCTTCCTTTAGCCTGGGTATGCAAATGTCAACACGTATCAGAGTTTTTAGCATTAAATCTGAATCAACAATCATTTCTGTCCAAACAACAAGCAAAATGGCACCCTGTTCATGAAACCCCACACTTTTGGCTAGTCCCTTTAATTTGACCTTGTCAAAAATATGAAAAAGATTGAATTGTATGTCTACAATGAAACCATTGCTTGTTTCTAATTTGTTCATTTATGATTTAAGGCAGGTGTGTGGAACTCCTGGGGACCTATAGCAGATACATCATCATTTGTGTATGGTTGGAAACACTCAGATATTGCCTTGCTTCTAAATTGGGGACCTATTGGATTCTTTATAGCAGCCGTTCCTAGCTTCTGGCTATTAGATGTGGCAGGTGAGACAAGCAGCAAACTTTTATTTGATTTGAAAGTTTTGAGCTTTTGGCAAACATTCTCACTAGAAGGTTCAAACAGGAAGAAGAGCTAATTTACTGATATATGAAAAGTCTGCAGTTTGTCTTGTTTTAACATTTGACAACTTGATGTTGAATTTGTTAATTGAGAACTCGACAACTGTAATTTTAGTAATCATGATGATACAACAATCAAACTCCATATTGAACTTTTTACTTTTTCTGTTATGAGAATACTTTAGATCCTCTTGTTACCATTATATAGTATGGGATGCAGATCATATTTTCCCCTGCTCTACCCTGTTTTTTGCTTTACCCAGCCCTCCAATGCTAAAGTGTTTGAATAATGTGCAGCGATTAGCACTTAAACATGATACTTGGACTGAATAATGTGACTGTAAATCCATTATTTATGAATAAATGAACTACATGTATATAAATATTTCCTGGTTCACTATTTTGCTAGAATTGTAAGAGATCCTGTTCTTCTAGAATATTTATAATCTATTGATTTAGAAATCAAAATTTTAGATAACAAATTATTGACATTAAGACATTCCAAACACACTACCACTATCTTAACACCTACTTAGTGTGCATTAACCCTAATGCTGCCAGGGGGTCAAATGTAGTGAATGCATTCTCAACAGAGTTAGGGTTAATATTGAAAAATAAAATTTAATTAACCAGAGAGCATTTTTGATACACTTTGAAATATATTCTTGTTTTATCTTTGTCGTTGTTGTTACAATTATTTTGAAATTCTCTTAGTACATGTACATGTATGTTATATTCATTAATCAGCATTAAAGTAATGGAGTGCAGCCCTCTGCAGAAAATTCGAAAATACTTTCCACTCTGTTGAAAATCTTGGCAGTCTGTGAAAATGATGTTTTATTGATAAATTTAGGTTAAATGCAGAATTTGCAACCTATTTAGAGAAAACCTAGGAAGATTATTGCTTAATCACTTAAATATTCTAAGTCTTTTTTTGTTTCATTGTTGCAGGTTTACGCTGGTCTGCTGTACTGGGGTCAATATTTGTGTGCTTAGGTACTGGAATCAGATGTCTGGCATTAGACCTCCGACCAATGCAACCATGGTAACCTACCTATCTACATCCTTCATCTTCTTGATTACAAAAAAGCATATGTCTCAGGTGTTTTATTTGCAGAAGTCAATTAAACAAGTTATTATATGTTGAATTCACTTGTTGTTTTGATGAATTTTGCAATTGTTTCCAATTTCAAATTACAATTTTCTGTGATTTCTTCTTTGTATTTATTTGTTTTGCCTTTTTAGAGCAAAAAATATGATGACTTTTGGAATGTTTCATACTTTCACAGTGGTGGCTGGCATAGTCAGTTGACCTTTAATTATTAGTAATTAATAATCATTGCTTATTCTTAAACACACTTCCTAATAGTCACATCTTTGAAAATAGATATCAGAATTCCCTATTACCATCTATAACAAAAACTTTATTTTCCCAAAAGGTCAATTAAAATTAAATGGACAAAGATTGTATCAGGTTAAATTGTTGGAGCAAAAATCAACATTTTGAGTCTTGCCCCACCTAAAAATCAACATTTTGAGTCTTGCCCCACCTGAAAGTCAACATTTTGAGTCTTGCCCCACCTAAAAATCAGCATTTTGAGTCTTGCCCCACCTAAAAATCAACATTTTGAGTCTTGCCCCATCTACTAAGTGTGCTGAAATATTTTGCATCTTTTTTAGGTTGATCCATGTTGGGCAAGCATTGAATGCATTAGCAGGTCCATTGTTATTTGCTGGCCCAGTTGTTGTCTCAGCCGTTTGGTTTCCAATTCATGAACAGACCAGGGCTGTTGCTATAGGAACCACAGCTGGTACTGTTGGCATGGCAATGTCATTTATTTTAGGTATGTATAAACACCATACAACGTTTTCCTTTGAAAAACCAATTAATAATTTTCTACAATTTATCATTCAGAAATGTAGCTTGAATATTTTTACCAGGAATAGTTTCATATCTGATTTATTAAAATTTGAGAGCAATTAAAAGTTTTAACGCTCATTAGTTTGTCTTCCAGTGAACTATAGTGGATGCAAGTATGAATAATATGTTTCCGACATCAAAATTTAGTCAAGGTGATATTGTATTTGAAGTCAGCTAAAACATTACATTTAAAGATCTAAGAAATTGTTTACCAGCTTTGAAATTTTATTTCAAAATCCATGTTACACGTGTTATGTAAAACTGGTAAATGGTGATAGATGTATATCTAGTATGTTTTCTCTTGAATTCATCATTCTTGCTTCTCTCATTGTTCATTACAACATACAACTGTTTATTGCAGGTCCTTTGCTGGTCAGAGACATAGCTGTATGCAATCAAACCAGTATTCCCAAACACCAGAGCCTTGGGTAAGTTCTATTGTAATTCTGCCATAGAGTTACTTGAATGGTCAAGAATAGAAAATATAATATCATATACAGCAGGCCCATAGCCAGAATTTGCCAAGGGGGATCAATTTTCAAAAATTTCCAGGGGGTTTACATTTGACAATTTTGGCCCAAATATGGTCCGAACCCCCCCCCCCCCCCCCCCCCCCCAATGTTACTAAGGTAATTTATATTTATTAAGGTTTCTGAGACAGAGAAAGATTGTAAAGTGCAATATATGGTAACTATATAGATCACATATTCTGTGCAGTTTCCCCATTGCATACATACATTTAATATTTTCAGTACAATACAGTCATTAAGACCACACATTCTGTGTAATTTCCTCATCACATACATGAATATTATATTTTCAGTGCAATACAGTTATTAAGACCACACATTCTGTGTAATTTCCTCATCACATACATATATTTTATATTTTCAGTACAATACAGTCTTTAAGACAACATATTCTGTGTAATTTCCTCATCACATACATGAATATTATATTTTCAGTGCAATACAGTTATTAAGACCACACATTCTGTGTAATTTCCTCATCAGTCATACATGAATATTATATTTTCAGTGCAATACAGTTATTAAGACCACACATTCTGTGTAATTTCCTCATCACATACATACATTTTATATTTTCAGTACAATACAGTCATTAAGACAACATATTCTGTGTAATATTCTCATCACATACATGAATATTATATTTTCAGTGCAATACAGTTATTAAGACCACACATTCTGTGTAATTTCCTCATCACATACATACATTTTATATTTTCAGTACAATACATTCATTAAGACAACATATTCTGTGTAATTTCCTCATCACATACATGAATATTATATTTTCAGTGCAATACAGTTATTAAGACCACACATTCTGTGTAATTTCCTCATCACATACATGAATATTATATTTTCAGTGCAATATACAGAGACCCTCAGTATGACTTTATAGACAATTCCACATCACCTGTGTGTCCCATTGTGAATCGTACAGATTTGACTGGAGCACGCAAAGATATACAGAAACTCATGTACATAGGTAAGGCCTATCAGTCATGGGCATCGCGCCTGGTATGCATAGGTGTACCAGATGGTTGCAAATACACTCCAAATACAACCAATTTCCAAAATTTCCCCCCTGAACCCCCTGAATTTTTTGCTTCTTTCAACACATGTTCCTGTGGTGACGTACTACTCATAAAAATAGTGCTACGCCTGTGACAGTAAAACTCAATCAGCTTGAAATACAGACATTTACCCAAAGTAGATGATTTGTTATGTAAATAAATGGCATTAATGGTTTAAGTCAAGCTAGATTGCCCTCACGTAAAACGAGGAAATCAGATTGCAAGTATGTCATCAAAGAAAAGTCCAATGTGATATATTCAAATCTGTTGTTTTTGTAAAATTATTCAACATCCAATGTGTCTAGCAATGGTGTGTTGTTACATTCAAAGGAACAGCAGATGGAGATGGACAAGGTGGAAATATTAAAGGGAAATAGAAAAGAATCTTGGTGAAAAAATATGGCACTCCTTCCTCACATTCATTCATTGCACTCTATTCCTTGAACTTTCTTACATAAAAGAAAACATAGCATATAAATTGCAAAGAACGCATATTTTTCAGCCCACCTTATATTTGCTTTGCTTTCATTGCAGAATGGTGTTACAGTGGAGTTCTCCTGCTGTTAGCTTTACTGTACTTCCCCAAACAACCCCCCACCCCACCAAGCATAGCAGCAGGCACTCAGAGGACCAACTTCACACAAGGCTTGAAAGCCATAGTCAAGTATGTTGCACCTTCCTAATTATGGCCTTTTACCAGACTGTTCAATAAGTTCTGAGAAAAAATGATGTAGCGATCAGGCTAAATAATGGCACAGATTGGAATGCCAGATTTCGTTGAATCTCCAGTAGTTTGATACTTTATGGCGAACTCCCGTGCAGTGATATACCACTGCGGCGGGCAGGTATCTCACCGTAAGCATGGTAACTTCGTAATAAACAACTGACGTGATTGGTTCTAGTCCCATGCTCAGGTCGCGTGATTGTAAAATTTAGACAATTTCATTAGTTGAATTGCGCGTATTAACTAATAAACAACACGTGCGGTAAACTATTATCAACAAAACTTTTACTCAGAATTTCTTCCGCGGTGATTTCTTCTCATATTTCAATAATTTTGAAATATTTTGACAAAATAATGTTTGGGGAACATTCATGAATACATATTTTATAAGTTGTGTGAAAATTGACCACATATGCGATGAAAAGGGGAACTATTTTCCCCAAATTTTGGGGATTTGCTTCATCTGCCCGCCGCAGTGTCTATACCGAGACACTGCATTGGAGTTCGACTTTATGGTTGCAGTCACATAAAATCATGCAATATCTACAAAATGTGAGCATTCCTTTCACATCATATAAAATTGCTTTTTATGTCACCACCACAAGTGCTGACATATTGTTATAGTTTCGAACTTTTTGTAAATAGTGTTAGTGTTGGGCATATGTAACAAATGGCAGGTGGTGACATTTTGCATGTGAATGCTTTGTTGTATGTTTTATACTCTAATGTAAATTCAATATTTCTGTATTGTCCATTGGTATTTACTTCATTGTTACTATAAACCTGGAAACGTTCTTATCTGCCCAAGATATTGTTGTTCTTAAGATTTAAATCTTATTTATTGCAGGAACAAGAAGTTCTGGCTGATTGCATTACCATATGGACTGCCCATGGGCTTCTATGGTGTATGGTCCAACTTTATAGATGCAATATTAGAACCCCTTAATATACAGCAGGTAAGGCAACTACTTAAAGGTAATTCCATTAGTGGAATTTGTTCACAACTTCACAATATAGAGAGATTTGTTTGCAAGAAAGATTTGTTCACAAGAGAGATTTGTTCGCAAGGAAGATTTGCTTGCAAGAGAGATTTGTTTGCAAGGAAGATTTGCTTGCAAGAGAGATTTGTTCAAAAGAGATGTGCTTGCTGAAGAAATATAACATATCTGAGTTCATAATGAACTTCTGTATGTTGAGATATAAAAAGACAATACTGTGTAATTCCTCATGAGATTGAAGTATATGATAGCCAAGTATTATATAGTTTAAATCAATATTTTATTTGTGCCTTCAGGAAGAAGCTGGCTGGATTGGTTTCTGGGCGATCGTTGGTGGATCTGTCACATCTCTTATTGTAGGAAGGTAGGAAAGGTTATGTACTATTACAGTTCTTATTATATTTCTGAGTTCTGTCAATATACATGGAGGTCAATTACCTTGGTCCTATGTTTTGATTTTTTACATAGTATACATGTAGATTGAAATGTGATCTTTTGAATATTTAAGATTTAATTATGGTAATATTTTTATTTCTTTCATAAAATAAATATAAGCGAACCCCCATCGTTGTCAATAGCCCCCTGTCTTTAATAACAACAGTGGGGGTTTGCTAATATTTGTTTCATGAAAGAAAGAAATGTATTACCATAATCAAATCTCAAAAGATCACATTTCAATCTACACTATGTAAAAAAAATCAAAATTGATGGCGCCATAGATAACGAGAAATAAGCTGGTGAACTTGGTACCTGAAACAACAAATTATAATGAAATGTATTAAGGTTGTATAACTAAATGAAAGTAGGCCAATCAGGCCTGTTATGGCCTAGTCACATAGCCCGGTCGATGAGCCCGGTCGAACACCGGCCGGACACCGGCCAGACATCCGTGGCATTTGTTGCTTAAAACTGCATCGGTGGTAGCTCAGTGAAATTTTAACTTCGGAGTTAAATTTCACCGGGCTCTCACCGAGCTCCCTCATCATGTCATCGCAGCCCCATCGTAACCACATCGGAAAACACGTCGGCCGGTACACGGCCGAGTATCGGCCGGTGTCCCGTGCATCTGAGACAACCAGAGGACGAGGTTTTTTAACAGACAGCGGCCGAGCTTCGACCGAGCTCCGGCCGATGTGGGACAGAGCATCGGCCGGTCACTGTTCAAAGCCCGTTCACAATCGGCCGGCGATCGCATGGTGTCCTGTTACCTGCTCGGGTACCGGCCGTATTCCTTCCGATGTCCGGCCGACCTCCGGCCGGTAGTTGCTGCCACATCGGCAGAAAAAAACTACCATTTTAAGACAGACTCCGTACGGTCACCGGCCGGTGTTCAGTCGGTCGCCTGAAGATGTCCGGACGGAGTCCGTTCACGTCACCGAGCTCTGCTTCCGATGAGGAGAGCTCGGTGGCACCAAAAAAATCCACCGAGCTCTACCGATGCCGGACATCGGCCGGGCTATGTGACTAGGCCATTAAGCCCGCCTGCTATTCCAGTGACTCCATTGAAAAGGCATTTGCTAGATCTGTTAAACCCAGTGTATATTGAGTCATTGACCATTGATTGAATGAACATTTCAATTTTACGAATAAGGCAAAATCTTAATTCAAAAAACGCAAAAGACAAAAGCTCATCCCCTTTTCAATTCAAGAAAATCGTGAAATGAAAGTTCTTCTTTTACCATTAGATCTTCTCAAGGTTTTGATTACATCATTTTGTAATTTCATTCACTAAATTTTTTGTTGATAATATGTAACTAATTTATGTTTAATTTCTAGTTTGCTGGACTACTTCAAACACAGGCTGAAACATGTGACTGTGGGTATATACATTGGGGCCTTAGTTAGCACTGTTTGGCTCATACTGATCTGTAGGGAGGTTCTGCCATTCTCAAAAGGTAACATTATGTAACAACATCTGTTGTGTATAAATGGTTTTTATGTCACCACCAGAAGTGGCGACATATTGTTATATTCTCCAACCTCTTTGTGGACTTTGTTCTGTGGTTGGTTTTTGGCACTTGGTGTTCAGTGTCTTTCAAAAATGGCAGGTTGTGACATTTTGCATGTTAATGCCTTGTTAGATGCTATCATGATTGTAAGCGATGTGAGTGATGATCAGATGGTCTTAAAATAGATTTGTGAAAATGCCCAAAAAGTTAAAATTTCCAAAGGGATATGTTTATGCTTTCACAAGTCACATTAATTAGATAATTCCAAACCATGAGAAATGACTTATAACTTCTGTTAGCTTTTTATTCTCTAGTATTTTTCCTGGGTCAACAATTTCTGGATTATGATACTTGTTTGTCATTTACATGAGTTCAAAATATCATTCTAAAAAAAATTCAAAAAAAATTCAAAATTCTTATCTGTCTCATCAAATAGACCAATTGACTTGCTAGACGCACATGCAATGGGCATGAAAAAATTGAAGGCCATTTTTGTTTCAAAACCTTGAGTATATTTACAAATCAAAGGCAGAGGAACTTTTCACAATCATGTATTTAGTAGTAAAAACTAATTTTGATTTGGTGTTTTCAGTGTGCCTGTACATAGCCGCAATACTTAGTGGGGGTCTTGTTAATACCCCTCCCCCACTGCTGTATGAGTTGGCCTGCCAGAATAGCTACCCAATTGGGGAAGGGGTCACTAGTGGTATGATGGCTATAGTCTATAACATTGCCGCAATGACTTTCCTTTTAATTATGATGGTACCTTCCATGGGTAAGTACTATATGCTTTACCATTTGTAAGAAAAACACTTTTTCATTTTTGAAAAACACTTTTTCTTCCAAATAGTGAACCTGCCTATTTTTTATCGCACTTTAAAAAAGTGCTATATTGTCGTCGTCTTGTGCTGTTGGGCGGGCGTGCGGGTGTGCGGGCGGCACATAAACAATCTTGTCATCAAATTTCCAGGATAACTGCTTACCTGTTCAACTTGAAATTTTTACAGATGCAAGAGCAGACTAGTACCAAGATCTGATTAGGTTAAGGGCATGCTGGGTAAACTACGTGGTGGCCATTTTGAATTTTTCAACAAATCTTGTCATCAAAATTCCAGGAAAACCACTTATCCGTTCAACTTGAATTTTTTACAGATGCAAGAGCAGACTATTGCCAAGATCTGATTAGGTTTTGGGTATGCTGGCTGAATTACATGGTGGCCATTTTGAATTTTTCAATTTGGCGGCCATTTTGAATTTTTTAACTTGCTCCAAATTGACCAAATTTTTCATCTACAAGTTCTCAGAAGTTCAAATCTGACCTTAGATTTCAGATTTGACCTTTTATTCACCTTCAGTGACCTTGAAAAGGTCAAAAAAGTTGATTTTCTAAATTGATATTTTGGATTTAAATTTAGGTCAGCTTAATTACAAAACACCTACTGAGGTCTGAAAAAGTGAAATTTTCAAGGTCGAAGGTCAAGGTCATTAAACTAGGTCACAAATGATGTTATCCAAGTTTCTCAAAGTTTGGGACTACAAATCAATTCTTGTCATCAAAATTCCAGGAAAACCACTTATCCGTTCAACTTGAAATTTTTACAGATGCAAGAGCAGACTATTGCCAAGATCTGATTAGGTTTTGGGTGTGCTGGCTGAATTACATGGTGGCCATTTTGAATTTTTCAATTTGGTGGCCATTTTGAATTTTTCAACTTGCTCCAAATTGACCAAATTTTTTTAAAAACATCTACAAGTTCTCAGAAGTTCAAATCTGACCTTAGATTTCAGATTTGACCTTTCGTTGACCTTCAGTGACCTTGAAAAGGTCAAAAAGTTGATTTTCTAAATTGATATTTTGGATTTAAATTTAGGTCAGCTTAATTACAAAACACCTACTGAGGTCTGAAAAAGTGAAATTTTCAAGGTCGAAGGTCATCAAATTAAGTCACAAACAATGTTATCTAAATTTTCCCAAAGTTCAAGACTACAAATAAATTCTTGTCATCAAAATTGCAGGAAAACCGCTAACCTTGTCAACTTGAAATGTTTACAGATGCAAGAGCAGACTAGTGCCAAGGTCTGATTAGGTTTGGCCATGCTGGGTAAATTGCATGGTGGCCAGTTTGCTCTTCAAAGTGCGATATTTATCACTGTGTGTCTTGTTCTCAAACATTAGTCAATATATTCAAATCAATCTGACATCAAGTATACTCACTATATTGATCTCTCCCAGATGTCAGCTGACATTGAGTATACTCACTATATTGATCTTTCCCAGATGTCAGCTGACATCGAGTATACTCACTTTATTGATCATTCCCAGATGTCAGCTGACATTGAGCATAGTCACTATATTGATCTTTTCCAGATGGCAGCTGACATTGAGTATACTCACTATATTGACCTATCCCAGATGTCAGCTGACATTTTTGAAATTTCAATTAAAAGTCAAATGAACATTTTCAAATATTGTAATTTGGGCCAGGAATTAAAATTCATTTTTTTACAACAGTCAAAAGTTGAGTTCTTGATAACAATTTATCTTTCTTTCAGATACAAGTTGGTTGAATTTCGGCTTGTTAGGATGTGTATGCCTGGCTGTACCTCTTTTACTTATTCTGAGGGAGTCTTTTAACAGGCTAGATCTGGATGAGAGAGCTCCTGGGACACCTAAATCTGGCAAATCTGGGCCCCTTGTACCCACTGTGTAACCAGAAACCCGAAAAGATATTCAACACATATTGAGTAATGTAAAACACAAAGTAAAGCAAATGCTTGCCATATGATAACATATCGAAGTATTGACGAATGCTGGAGAATAAGATATAGTATCAGGGTTCTCACCAGGAAATTTTTATACCCCGGATTTTTAGGGGTATTGTGACTACTTTTTTCGCGGTATCACGACTACTTCTCCCTCATGTGAGATCACAATGTTTTACCGCAAATAAAAATGTAAAATTAGACTCAGGAAAAACACTTTAGACTCCAGAAAAGCTATTAGACTCTGGAGCAAGAGGGTTTTAAGACAATCTTTTAAGAGAATCTCCGGATTCTAAAAGCCTAGTGAGAACCCTGAGTAGACTTATTGAAAGACAAATCAGTGCTCAACTATTTACCTCATTTATAAGAAATAGTTTATGAGGAGAGAAATATCCACCTTTAAAAAAACTATTTTTATGTGAGGTGGCACGAGATATTCACATTTTAGGAGTAGTTCATATTGAGTGGATATCCAATTGTGCTCCTAAAATATAAGAAATTGTTAAGACTATTAAGAAATTCAATTACTTAAAAGAAATACATGTGGTTGGTGAAGTGGATATCCACTTCAAAAATATTGTTCTTATTTATATAGTCATAGTTATATTGGGTGGATAATGGATATCCACTTCTTAGAATTGTTTATGAGGGAATATCTACATGTAAAATATTGTTATGTGTGTCAGAAATCCGCAAAAATAGTTTGTTGAGAGGATATCTAATTCCAAAAATAGAGTCTTTATGTTTATTTGTGGTAAGTATTCATGTCCATACTTAACAGAGAGTGGATATGAAATATAAATAAGGAAGTAAGAATTCTCTTCAGACCGCAGGAGGATAAAAATCATATTTTAATAAAACATCACATTTTACGATTGTCAGCACCTTTTATTTAAAACTATTTTATCCCATTTATATATTATTTTTAGCACAATTTCTGTTTTATGTATTTTATTTACATGATCAGTTATTGTTAAAGATCTTTTATTTCATTTTGTACGTGTATATTTTATTAATTCAATCTGTTTTGAATTTTTCTCTGTTAGCAGGAACTCAAGATCCAGAGTTTCTCATAATGGTACCCTACTTGGTGCAATTTTGAAAATCTTCAAATTAAAGCCCATGGGTATTTAATTCAAGTTCATTTAGCAAATGACCTTGATTTTGTTTGAATTTTGGTTATATGCAATATATTATGCATACAAATATATTAAGTATGCACCATCTTCCCTAGAAGTAGAAACATATCTTGGATTCTTGCTATGGAGGATTGTATGTCAATCAAAAACAAAAACAACCTCAAGGGGTTCTCAGGGTACATGCAGCTTTGGAATAAATATAATTACCTAGAGTTCAATGTTTATGTTGTTGTTTCCTGATGTTGTGAAAAAACAACAGGATCCTTGTCACAAGGCTAATTAGTCAGGCATGATCGTTGTCACCTGGCTTAGAGTATTCTTGTCACCTGATTTAGGATCCATCTCATCTGATTTAGAATCTGTGTCACCTGAATTAAGATCAGTGGCACCTGACTTGTCACAAGGCTTATTTAGTCAGGCATGATCATTGTCACCTGGCTAAGTATTCTTGTCACCTGATTTAGGATCCATCTCATCTGATTTAGAATCTGTGTCACCTGAATTAAGATCTGTGCCAACTGACTTGTGCTCCTTGTCACCTTACTTATGATAAACACATTGTGTAACCATTGTCATATTAGAGATATTGCAACTCGTTTTGCTATTCACAGAGGTTGATATAGTGTAATTGGGAGAAATGATGCATGTGGATAATAGATGTGGCAATTCAGTTAGATTTCCCAACAGTAGACATTCCAAGTCCACAGACATCTTGTTAATGAACCTCTGTAATTGCACATGTTTTAGCATATACAATAAGTGAAAAATTGAGCCTCATTGACTGCGCTAAGGAGACATGTACATCAATAATTCTATGTCAGCTTAACTATTGTCAAGTGGAACATCTTGCAAGCGGACCCTTTGACATCATTTAAATTAAGTCTATATGTATTACACCCTTAGTGGAATCCTAAGTGGAACATCTTGCAAGCGTACCCTTTGACATCATTTAAATTAAGTCTGTATATGTATTACACCCTTAGTGGAATCCTAAGTGAAACACCTTGCAAGCGGACCCTTTGACATCATTTAAATTAAGTCTGTATATGTAGTACACCCTTAGTGGAATCCTAAGTGAAACACCTTGCAAGCGGACCCTTTGACATCATTTAAATTAAGTCTGTATATGTATTACACCCTTAGTGGAATCCTAAGTGGAACACCTTGCATGCGGACCCTTTGACATCATTTAAATTAAGTCTGTATATGTATTACACCCTTAGTGGAATCCTAAGTGGAACACCTTGCAAGCGGACCCTTTGACATCATTTAAATTAAGTCTGTATATGTATTACACCCTTAGTGCAATCCTAAGTGGAACACCTTGCAAGCGGACCCTTTGACATCATTTAAATTAAGTCTGTATATGTATTACACCCTTAGTGGAATCCTAAGTGGAACACCTTGCATGCGGACCCTTTGACATCATTTAAATTAAGTCTGTATATGTATTACACCCTTAGTGGAATCCTAAGTGGAACACCTTGCAAGCGGACCCTTTGACATCATTTAAATTAAGTCTGTATATGTATTACACCCTTAGTGCAATCCTAAGTGGAACACCTTGCAAGCGTACCCTTTGACATCATTTAAATTAAGTCTGTATATGTATTACACCCTTAGTGCAATCCTAAGTGGAACACCTTGCAAGCGGACCCTTTGACATCATTTAAATTAAGTCTGTATATGTATTACACCCTTGGTGAATCCTAAGTGGAACACCTTGCATGCGGACCCTTTGACATAATTTAAATTAAGTCTGTATATGTATTACACCCTTAGTGGAATCCTAAGTGAAACACCTTGCAAGCGGACCCTTTGACATCATTTGAATTAAGTCTGTATATGTATTACACCCTTAGTGGAATCCTAAGTGGAACACCTTGCAAGCGGACCCTTTTACATCATTTGAATTAAGTCTGTATATGTATTACACCCTTAGTGGAATCCTAAGTGGAACACCTTGCAAGCGGACCCTTTCATCATTTAAATTAAGTCTATATGTATTACACCCTTAGTGGAATCATAAGTGGAACACCTTGCAAGTGGACCCTTTGACATCATTTGAATTAAGTCTGTATATGTATTACACCCTTAGTGGAATCCTAAGTGGAACACTTTGCAAGTGGACCCTTTGACATCATTTAAATTAAGTCTGTATATGTATTACACCCTTAGTGAAATCCTAAATTGAACACCTTGCAAGCGGACCCTTTGACATCATTTGAATTAAGTCTGGATATGTATTACACCCTTAGTGCAATCCTAAGTGGAACACCTTGCAAGCGGACCCTTTGACATCATTTAAATTAAGTCTGTATATGTATTACACCCTTAGTGGAATCATAAGTGGAACACCTTGCAAGCGGACCCTTTGACATCATTTAAATTAAGTCTATATATGTATTACACCCTTAGTGGAATCCTAAGTGGAACACCTTGCAAGTGGACCCTCTGACATCATTTAAATTAAGCCTGTATATGTATTACACCCTTAGTGGAATCCTAAGTGGAACACCTTGCAAGTGGACCCTTTGACATCATTTGAATTAAGTCTGAAAATGTATTACACATTTAGTGGAATCCCAAGTGGAACACCTTGCAAGTGGACCCTTTGACATCATTTGAATTAAGTCTGAAAATGTATTACACCCTTAGTGGAATCCTAAGTGGAACATCTTGCAAGCGAACCCTTTGACATCATTTAAATTAAGTCTGTATATGTATTACACCCTTAGTGGAATCCTAAGTGGAACACCTTGCAAGCGGACCCTTTTACATCATTTGAATTAAGTCTGTATATGTATTACACCCTTAGTGGAATCCTAAGTGGAACATCTTGCAAGCGGACCCTTAGACATCATTTAAATTAAGTCTGTATATGTATTACACCCTTAGTGGAATCCTAAGTGGAACACCTTGCAAGTGGACCCTTTGACATCATTTAAAGTAAGTCTGTATATGTATTACACCCTAAGTGGAATCCTAAGTGGAACACCTTGCAAGCGGACCCTTTGACATCATTTAAATTAAATCTGAAAATGTATTACACCCTTAGTGGAATCCTAAGTGGAACACCTTGCAAGCGGATCCTTTGACATTATTTGAATTAAGTCTATATATGTATTACACCCTTAGTGGAATCCTAAGTGAAACACCTTGCAAGCGGACCCTTTGACATCATTTGAATTAAGTCTGTATATGTATTACACCCTTAGTGGAATCCTAAGTGGAACACCTTGCAAGTGGACCCTTTGACATCATTTAAAGTAAGTCTGTATATGTATTACACCCTTAGTGGAATCCTAAGTGGAACACCTTGCAAGCGGACCCTTTGACATCATTTAAATTAAGTCTGAAAATGTATTACACCCTTAGTGGAATCCTAAGTGGAACACCTTGCAAGTGGATCCTTTGACATCATTTGAATTAAGTCTGAAAATGTATTACACCCTTAGTGGAATCCTAAGTGGAACACCTTGCAAGTGGATCCTTTGACATCATTTGAATTAAGTCTGAAAATGTATTACACCCTTAGTGGAATCCTAAGTGGAACACCTTGCAAGCGGACCCTTTTACATCATTTAAATTAAGTCTGTATATGTATTACACCCTTAGTGGAATCCCAAGTGGAACACCTTGCAAGCGGACCCTTTTACATCATTTAAATTAAGTCTGTATATGTATTACACCCTTAGTGGAATCCTAAGTGGAACACCTTGCAAGTGGACCCTTTGACATCATTTGAATTAAGTCTGTATATGTATTACACCCTTAGTGGAATCCTAAGTGAAACACCTTGCAAGCAGACCCTTTGACATCATTTAAAGTAAGTCTGTATAGGTATTACACCCTTAGTGGAATCATAAGTGGAACACCTTGCAAGCGGACCCTTTGACATCATTTAAATTAAGTCTGTATATGTATTACACCCTTAGTGGAATCATAAGTGGAACACCTTGCAAGCGGACCCTTTTACATCATTTAAATTAAGTCTGTATATGTATTACACCCTTAGTGGAATCCTAAGTGGAACACCTTGCAAGCGGACCCTTTGACATCATTTAAATTAAGTCTGTATATGTATTACACCCTTAGTGGAATCCTAAGTGGAACACCTTGCAAGCGGACCCTTTTACATCATTTAAATTAAGTCTGTATATGTATTACACCCTTAGTGGAATCCTAAGTGGAACACCTTGCAAGCGCACCCTTTGACATCATTTAAATTAAGTCTGTATATGTATTACACCCTTAGTGGAATCCTAAGTGGAACACCTTGCAAGTGGACCCTTTGACATCATTTGAATTAAGTCTGTATATGTATTACACCCTTAGTGGAATCCTAAGTGGAACACCTTGCAAGCGGACCCTTTTACATCATTTAAATTAAGTCTGTATATGTATTACACCCTTAGTGTAATCCTAAGTGGAACACCTTGCAAGCGGACCCTTTGACATCATTTAAATTAAGTCTATATATGTATTACACCCTTAGTGGAATCCTAAGTGGAACACCTTGCAAGCGGACCCTTTGACATCATTTAAATTAAGTCTGTATATGAATTACACCCTTAGTGGAATCCTAAGTGAAACACCTTGCAAGCGAACCCTTTTACATCATTTAAATTAAGTCTGTATATGTATTACACCCTTAGTGGAATCCTAAGTGGAACACCTTGCAAGGGGACCCTTTTACATCATTTAAATTAAGTTTGTATATGTATCACACCCTTAGTGGAATCATAAGTGGAACACCTTGCAAGTGGACCCTTTGACATCATTTGAATTAAGTCTGAAAATGTATTACACCCTTAGTGGAATCCTAAGTGGAACACCTTGCAAGTGGACCCTTTGACATCATTTAAATTAAGTCTGTATATGTATTTCACCCTTAATGGAATCCTAAGTGGAACACCTTGCAAGCGGACCCTTTGACATCATTTAAATTAAGTCTGTATATGTATTACACCCTTAGTGGAATCATAAGTGGAACACCTTGCAAGCGGACCCTTTGACATCATTTGAATTAAGTCTGAAAATGTATTACACCCTTGGTGGAATCCTAAGTGGAACACCTTGCAAGCGGACCCTTTGACATCATTTAAATTAAGTCTGTATATGTATTACACCCTTAGTGGAATCCTAAGTGGAACACCTTGCAAGCGGACCCTTTGACATCATTTAAATTAAGTCTGTATATGTTTTACACCCTTAGTGGAATCCTAAGTGGAACACCTTGCAAGTGGACCCTTTGACATCATTTGAATTAAGTCTGAAAATGT